CTATAAATACTTTATAACAGACACCCTTCTATAAATGTTTTATAACAGATATCTTTCTATAAATGTTTTATAACAGACACCCTTCTATAAATGTTTTATAACAGACACCCTTCTATAAATATTTTATAACAGACACCCTTCTATAAAGTTTTATAACAGACACACTTCTATAAATGTTTTATAACAGACACCCTTCTAGAAATGTTTTATAACAGACACCCTTCTATAAATGTTTTATAGCAGACACCCTTCTATAAATGTTGTATAACAGACACCCTTCTATAAATGATTTTTAACAGACACACTTCTATAAATGTTTTATAACAGACATACTTCTATAAATGTTTTATTACAGACTCTCTCCTCTTTATATGTTTTATAACAGACACAATTCTCTGAAGAGTTTTGTTATAGGCATACCTCTATGACATTTTTCGTAACAAACATCCTTCTCTGAAGAGTTTTGTTATAGACAAACCTTCTATGACCTTTTTCGTAAAAAACATCCTTCTCTGAAGAGTTTTGTTAGAGACAAACCTCCATGACATTTTTCGTAACAAACATCCTTCTCAGAAGAGTTTTGTTATAGACACACCTCTAAGACATTTTTCGTAACAAACATCCTTCTCAGAAGAGATTTGTTATAGACACACCTCTATGACATTTTTCGTAACAAACATAGAAATGTTTTATAACAGACACCCTTCTAGAAATGTTTCATAACAGACACCCTTCTATAAATGTTTTATAACAGACACCCTTCTAGAAATGTTTTATAACAGGCACCCTTCTATAAATGTTTTATAGCAGACACCCTTCTATAAATGTTTTATAGCAGACACCCTTCTATAAATGTTTTATAGCAGACGCCCTTCTATAAATGTTGTATAACAGACACCTTTCTATAAATGATTTTTAACAGACACACTTCTATAAATGTTTTATAACAGACACCCTTCTAGAAATGTTTTATAACAGGCACCCTTCTATAAATGTTTTATAGCAGACGCCCTTCTATAAATGTTGTATAACAGACACCCTTCTATAAATGGTTTATAACAGACACCCTTCTATAAATGATTTTTAACAGACACACTTCTATAAATGTTTTATAACAGACATACTTCTATAAATGTTTTATTACAGACTCTCTCCTCTTTATATGTTTTATAACAGACTCAATTCTCTGAAGAGTTTTGTTATAGGCATACCTCTATGACATTTTTAGTAACAAACATCCTTCTCTGAAGAGTTTTGTTATAGACATACCTCTATGATATTTTTCGTAACAAACATCCTTCTCAGAAGAGTTTTGTTATAGACACACCTCTATGACATTTTTCGTAACAAACATCATTCTATGAAGAGTTTTGTTATAGACAAACCTTCTATGACCTTTTTCGTAAAAAACATCCTTCTCTGAAGAGTTTTGTTATAGGCATACCTCTATGACATTTTTCGTTACAAACATCCTTCTCTGAAGAGTTTTGTTATAGACATACCTCTATGATATTTTTCGTAACAAACATCCTTCTCAGAAGAGTTTTGTTATAGACAATAACAGACACCCTTCTATAAATGTTTTATAGCAGACTCCCTTCTATAAATGTTGTATAACAGACACCATTCTATAAATGATTTTTAACAGACACACTTCTATAAATGTTTTATAACAGACACCCTTCTAGAAATGTTTTATAACAGACACCCTTCTAGAAATGTTTTATAACAGACACCCTTCTAGAAATGTTTTATAACAGGCACCCTTCTATAAATGTTTTATAGCAGACACCCTTCTATAAATGTTTTATAACAGACATACTTCTATAAATGTTTTATTACAGACTCTCTCCTCTTTATATGTTTTATAACAGACACAATTCTCTGAAGAGTTTTGTTATAGGCATACCTCTATGACATTTTTCGTAACAAACATCATTCTATGAAGAGTTTTGTTATAGACAAACCTTCTATGACCTTTTTCGTAAAAAACATCCTTCTCTGAAGAGTTTTGTTATAGACATACCTCTATGACATTTTTCGTAACAAACATCCTCCTCTGAAGAGTTTTGTTAGAGACAAACCTCCATGACATTTTTCGTAACAAACATCCTCCTCTGAAGAGTTTTGTTAGAGACAAACCTCCATGACATTTTTCGTAACAAACATCCTCCTCTGAAGAGTTTTGTTAGAGACAATCTTCTATGACATTTTTCGTAACAAACATCATTCTATGAAGAGTTTTGTTATAGACAAACCTTCTATGACCTTTTTCGTAAAAAACATCCTTCTCTGAAGAGTTTTGTTATAGACAAACCTTCTATGACCTTTTTCGTAAAAAACATCCTTCTCTGAAGAGTTTTGTTATAGACAAACCTTCTATGACCTTTTTCGTAAAAAACATCCTTCTCTGAAGAGTTTTGTTATAGACAAACCTTCTATGACCTTTTTCGTAAAAAACATCCTTCTCTGAAGAGTTTTGTTATAGGCATACTTCTATGACATTTTTCGTAACAAACATCATTCTATGAAGAGTTTTGTTATAGACAAACCTCTATGACATTTTTCGTAACAAACATCCTCCTCTGAAGAGTTTTGTTAGAGACAAACCTCTATGACATTTTTCGTAACAAACATCATTCTATGAAGAGTTTTGTTATAGACAAACCTTCTATGACCTTTTTCGTAAAAAACATCCTTCTCTGAAGAGTTTTGTTATAGACATACCTCTATGATATTTTTCGTAACAAACATCCTTCTCAGAAGAGATTTGTTATAGACACACCTCTATGACATTTTTGGTAACAAACATCCTTCTCTGAAGAGGTTTGTTAGAGACAACCTTCTATGACATTTTTCGTAACAAACATCATTCTATGAAGAGTTTTGTTATAGACAACCTACTATGAAACTCTTTTAAAGTTGATACATTTTGTAACAAACATCCTTCTATAATGAAAAACTACAACATAATAACAGACATACCTCTATGAACATTTTAATGATTGACATCCTTTTAGAAAAGTCTTCATAAGATCGCTAGTCTTGTAGAAAGCGTTTCTGTAAGCCATTCTCCTAGGAAACTTCACACAAAAGGAGAAATGCTTCCATTCGAAAAGAAAACTTAAATTATTTTTTTTATCGGGGAAGTCACCCAACTATTTATAAAGGACAAACGCTGGACAAGGAACTTAAAGACACAACGAACTGACTAAGTCAAAGTAAGTGTGTTGAACAGGTTGGCCCTTTGAACATTTTGATAACAGAAGAGTAAAAAAAAAGGTTTGAAAAGATAAAACGTGCGATTTATTTTGAAATAGTTCTCTTCTTTAAAATGTTCATAATATTCAAAACAGAGCGTTCTTCTGGTGCATCCTCAAAACATGTCTGGTAATCAGTAATGGTAAGAAATGGGTCGAGAAAACTGATTTAATATCTGTCTTAATCTTAATCTTGTGCTCGGCGTGTTCATAGCTGTTTTATCTGTTATTTCTGTAGTTAAAAGTTAAAACGGGACGACAAGTTATCATAAACGGATACATAACAGTAGACCATTCCTTACCGATTCTCAGTCTCAAATAGGCAGTGAATTCATATTTCTTTGTGTCTCCTACTGTGCCGACTTCCGGATTCATTTTCATGGTTTAGATAATACGTATGTCTTGAGATAAGGATGACGTAACCCGTGCTAACGTACAAGAAACCCAATGAACAATCATTCATGAATGAAGTACAGAAAGATACATGTAAAAAAATGGCGGACCAGCTGGATTCTTTCATCCGGGTCCTAGCAACGAGGTCGACAGCCACCAATCATCAATCGAGAAATATTTGATAAATATTGCCATTAATTTTTCTTCGCATCTTCCAGTTTGTTTGAAAGGGAGAAAGAATTTCTCTTTATCGCGTCAGCTCACGCGTGACATATTTTCCCTCACACGTCGTGTCTGCCTCAGTGGCCGCTGTATGCTGGACACCGGCTACTGCTTCTACTCATCGTTGATACAAATCACACCATACGTTATATGACTGTTTTTCGGATATATAAATGGCTGAAATAAAAAAAAAATTATAGTATCCTTTAAATCTGTTCAAATATTTTAACCTATTTTGTTTTTGTATGAGATGAAATAAAATGAAGATGAGGCTTGGAAAATGGGTGTCTGTACTACTTGAATTATAACTCAGTACTACAAATACTACTATTTGACATAAAACGCGAATGATTTGGTTTCACTTTGCGTATATTTTGTACAGTCAATTTGGGTGGCGTGACATTGCCTTCTAATAGTTTTTAGCCATAAAAACCAGCGCACTGTGTATCACTCAAGCAATAAATGCTAACTTGTGATATGCTGATTATAGATCAAACCTGGTGTGATGCTATAGGCTGTAATAAACCCCCTCCCGGTACAAGGCTCACAATACCGGCTAATTAGTGCTAGCCTGTTCCCCCGTTACCCCTAAATCGCTGCTACTCTCCCTGTGTCAGACGCTCTGCCAAACGTTTTGACTACCAGTGTCTCATAGCACCAAACAAATTTGCCCGGAAAGTCTGTTTTATTCCTAGGACGGAAACTTTTCATAGTTCACAATTTTACCGGAGAGCTGTCAGTCGTGGGATCAGGTTGTGTTCAAAACTACTGACACGCGAATGCGCGAGAGAGGAAAAGATGGGGCATATCAGCTGATACGTGATCATAACGCCAGACTGATGCTGTATACCTTGTATCTTCAATGGAGTGTGCTTATCTCGTGGTGGCATTCCGCTCTGAGTTCGCGCCGGGAATCGCTATCCCAGCCAGCTTCTGAAGCTATTATACAAGAAACCTGCGCCAGAGTGAACATTTTGAAAGTTATTCAAGTCGACTTTACGCCAAAAAAACTTATCAATTTTTGTGTATTTGAATGTGATGGTAAGTGTATAGTATAGGCACGTGCCTGTAACACGAGCTTTACTCGTCAGTCTGAAGTCTGTGTACACAGAGTTAGGGTGTGTTACACTGGTGCCGTGCCATAACCAAGCTTGCGTGTTTGTCTCCCCACTGTATATCTACGTGTAAATCTCGTGCATCTGACCTACACATGCTGACAAACTGCCGAGAGGGGGACGGAGAACGGAGGGAACCCATCAGTAGTGGACACGAACATGTGACAGTAACTGGGCCCCTCCTTCCGACCCCTGAAGAGGACTTTACCACATAATATGACCCGACGTTACTCCCGGGACCTCGGCAGTTCGGTGAGTAGCCACACCCCCGGGCCACACCCAAACACCCCACCCCTCGTTACAAGTTGTGTTGGAACGGGGGACACGTGTAACGCATCGTCTAGTAGATAACATATATTACGGATCATGCATTCCTGGTGTTGCATACTATAAAGCATGTCTTCACTAAACATTTACAAAGTACTTAATCTGAAAGCCATATCTATGCCGTTGCTTTGACCAACATAAATGGGTAATATCCATGCTGACCACAGGAACAAAACGTATAAACCTGTTTCCATGTCGTGTTGGGGTGTAAGTTGGTGAAGCAACAATTTGATCAGATATCAATAGCACAATGTCATGTGTAATGTTGTATCGGTTCAAACATATGGCAAAGTCTCTCTTAACTTGCTAGGTTGCCAGAAATGACGCATCGAACATCGGAAGGGACATTCCAAAGCTGTTCATCAGCCGAGCCCGAAAATTAGACAACTTATAATTGGTCATATTCAATTTCCTCTTTATATGTTGTTGGAAGATATTTTTCTTACACGTTTTAGTGATTATATGGGTACTTATTAATCCGACTGCTTGCTTTCGGCACTGACGACGAGGGGTGTATGGTATCAATAACTCTGTCCTCGATACAGTAATAAAACGATGGTCATAAAATGTCTACAGTGCAAAATAGAGTAATTGCAGACATTTACCTACCCCCACATCCCGCCCCCCGTCCGTATCGATACAAAAATCAAGGTATCGGATTATGTTCGTTAGACACACAAGGGACTGTCTCGGACTTGGAGGAAGGGGTCAGTAAGCTTTTAACGAGGGATGGGAATAGTCAGTATCTGACTAACGAGTCGGTAGGGGGTAGAAACTTGGTGTATACACACAGAAAACAATGGTATGGCACTCTCCTCGCTAACCCCTGCGTAATTTACTCAATCACTGTCAGCTGTCTCCGATACACACGGTGTAGTGAGCATGCTTCTATATACAACCCACATCGAAATTTCTACAATTTAACCGAAAATAGGACTGTCTCGAAAACAAGTCATCGATGTCTTGTTTTCAAATTTACCTTGAAAAGAAGATGATAATTAGAAGGAGAAATATCTTTGAGAGATAGTCGGTGCAGTAAACAATATAGGAATTTGCATTGGCTTTACAAGAGTAACAATGAAACTGCTATCATATTATACATGATATTTACACTGAATGATAATTACATAAGATACCAAAATATCAAGAGCCCTATATCTGATTGTAACATATTGTCATTCCTCGGGGAATTGTATTCATCAAAACACAGTGTAAAGGTTAAACACGCATTCTTTTCGACGCCACATTAATTCGGTCAGTTCTGGCCAGAAGTCCAGTGTTTACGAGACCCCTGTCTTTGAAATGTACGAAATTGTACGTTTATAATTGGATAAACCGGAATTATAATGTCAACTTTAAAGACAATCATTAATACACATATATTTCTTGTTTCTTATTGTGATATTCACCATGTTATAATGATGATAACTTTTGCCAGATAGTTACTCGTGCAAACCGGATATTCTACTCTCTCCGGGCGCCATTTAGTTCTTACCACGAATGCATTATTGTTTAGATGGGAATTTATATTTAGATGTCAAACAAACTTTTTGAAAAATATCCCGTTATCTTTTAGTTTAAACTTTGCTCATGTGCAGTTTAATATAACATATTTTCTCAAATTGATTCAGTTCGGTAATTTAATGCTTCAGTTTAGAAATTTCAACTCATGTGCAAATGCAAAAAAATGTCCGATTGCACGGAGAAAAAAAAGTGTATTTACTGAAGTGAATAAGAAGGTACATATAGATACTGTTAACTTTACAAGTAGTTGTAAATTAGTACAACGCACCGATAACAGACAGTGCCGCACCCGATAATAAAGTCCAGTGTTTAACTCTATGGAAGTTATAAAAATCACCGTCTTACTTGATGACAATCAAAGACAACAATTTCGACATTAGTAAACAACTTATCGTGTAAGATATACGGTGTTTACGGTGTCGTACACCACTGAAATAACCGTTCAAACATTAAATGAGCGATTAATTTACTCCTCACTAAAGACAAGAAGATTCGAAGGTTGATGTCAGTTAGCCTATAAACCAAACTGATAACAAAAAAAACCAAACATTTTAATGACTGAATTCAGAAATGCGGAAGATTCAATCAAAAGCACGCGACAATTATATATATTGTGAATATAGTTTAAATATCAATACGCGTTCGCATTATCCTGAAATAGTTAATTAAAATATAATCAAGTAAATAAGCAGGTGAATGTATGGCGTTAATGATAAAAACACTGAATGGGTATTTTATGTGTTTTAATAAAAAAAATCAATTAAAAAAATTGCGACAATTTTATATATTGTGAATAAATAAGTTTGATTATTAGTAAGTGTTCGCATTGTCCTGAATAAGTTACATAAAAAAATCGTATGTAAATAAGCAAAGGCATGTATGTTATTGTTAATGATAAAAACACTTAATAAATACTGCTTTATTTGTGTTTTATCAATTAGTACATCTATAAATATGTATTCGTACATGCAATTGCGTGCCAGGCTTGGTTATGCGCAGTAGATTATTTGACATCTCACGTCAAGAACAAGCGTTTCCTCGACAGAGAGTTGGTGCCAATAATGTACAATATTATCCTCTGTGGAGCTAAAGTACAAAGTCATTAAAATTAGAAGTGCTTTTCAAGGGATTTTTAATCGACTTAGTATTTAGTTTAATAAAGAGTCATGTTAAGTATTGAACTATCTTTATCTTAAGTTCATCAGAGTAGTTCGTTAACTATAGAAACAATTGGTAAAGTGATTCACAAACCATATGTATTAAGGTTTAGCTTAGTGATTCACAAACCATATATATTAAAGTTTAGCTTAGTGATTCACGAACCAAATGTATTTAGGTTTAGCTTATTGATTCACAAACCACTTGTATTAAGGTTTAGCTTAGTGATTCACAAACCACTTATATTAAGGTTTAGCTTAGTGATTCACAAACCACGTGTATCAAGATTTAGCTTAGTGATTTACGGAACACGTGTATTAAGGTTTATCTTAGTGATTCACAAACCATTTGCATTAAGGTTTAGCTAAGTGATTCTCAAACCATATGATATGTATTAAGGTTTAGCTTAGTGATTCACAAACCAAATCTATTTAGGTTTAGCTTAGTGATCCACAAACCACTTATATTAAGGTTAAGTTTAGTGATTCACAAACCACGTGTATTAAGGTTTAGCTTAGTGATTCACAAACCAAATGTATTTAGGTTTAGCTTAGTGATTCACAAACCACTTATATTAATGTTTAGCTTAGTGATTCCCAAACCATTTGTATTAAGGTTTAGCTTAGTGATTCTCAAACCATATGTATTAAGGTTTAGCTTAGTGATTCACAAACCAAATTTATTTAGGTTTAGCTTAGTGATTCACCAACCACTTATATTAAGGTTTAGCATAGTTATACACATATCAAATTTATTTAGGTTTAGCTAAGTGAGACACAGACCACGTGTATTAAGGTTTAGCTTAGTGATTCACGGACCACGTGTATTAAGGTTTAGCTTAGTGATTCACAAACCACGTGTTTTAAGGTTTAGCTTAGTGATTCACAAACCAAAGGTATAAAGGTTTAGATTTGTGTTTCACATACCAAATGTATTTAGGTTTAGCTTAGTGATTCACAAACCATATGTATATAGGTTTATCTAAGTGATTCACAAACCATTTGTATTAAGGTTTAGCTTAGTGATTCACAAACCACGTGTTTTAAGGTTTAGCTTAGTGATTCACAAACCAAAGGTATAAAGGTTTAGATTTGTGTTTCACATACCAAATGTATTTAGGTTTAGCTTAGTGATTCACAAACCATATGTATATAGGTTTATCTAAGTGATTCACAAACCATTTGTATTAAGGTTTAGCTTAGTGATTCACAAACCACGTGTTTTAAGGTTTAGCTTAGTGATTCACAAACCAAAGGTATAAAGGTTTAGATTTGTGTTTCACATACCAAATGTATTTAGGTTTAGCTTAGTGATTCACAAACCATATGTATATAGGTTTATCTAAGTGATTCACAAACCATTTGTATTAAGGTTTAGCTTAGTGATTCACAAACCACGTGTTTTAAGGTTTAGCTTAGTGATTCACAAACCAAAGGTATAAAGGTTTAGATTTGTGTTTCACATACCAAATGTATTTAGGTTTAGCTTAGTGATTCACAAACCATATGTATATAGGTTTATCTAAGTGATTCACAAACCATTTGTATTAAGGTTTAGCTTAGTGATTCACAAACCACGTGTTTTAAGGTTTAGCTTAGTGATTCACAAACCAAAGGTATAAAGGTTTAGATTTGTGTTTCACATACCAAATGTATTTAGGTTTAGCTTAGTGATTCACAAACCATATGTATATAGGTTTATCTAAGTGATTCACAAACCATTTGTATTAAGGTTTAGCTTAGTGATTCACAAACCACGTGTTTTAAGGTTTAGCTTAGTGATTCACAAACCAAAGGTATAAAGGTTTAGATTTGTGTTTCACATACCAAATGTATTTAGGTTTAGCTTAGTGATTCACAAACCATATGTATATAGGTTTATCTAAGTGATTCACAAACCATTTGTATTAAGGTTTAGCTTAGTGATTCACAAACCACGTGTTTTAAGGTTTAGCTTAGTGATTCACAAACCAAAGGTATAAAGGTTTAGATTTGTGTTTCACATACCAAATGTATTTAGGTTTAGCTTAGTGATTCACAAACCATATGTATATAGGTTTATCTAAGTGATTCACAAACCATTTGTATTAAGGTTTAGCTTAGTGATTCACAAACCACGTGTTTTAAGGTTTAGCTTAGTGATTCACAAACCAAAGGTATAAAGGTTTAGATTTGTGTTTCACATACCAAATGTATTTAGGTTTAGCTTAGTGATTCACAAACCATATGTATATAGGTTTATCT